TTGGATCAATTCAGGCTCAGGCTTTTTGAATATCTGACCCTAGCCTTTGAGAATTAGAACTGAGAGGTTGGAGAGGGAGTAGTAGTCTTGTGAGAAGTGTGCACTCACAGGTAATTAGGTATTTTTGTCATTAGACTAACCAGCGCCCCCAAAACATGGAAGATATCAAATTTTGACACACTAAAACTCTTGTTGAAAGTGGTAGACTCGTGTGCATATGCAAAGGCAATATTTTTTGTTTTAATTTAGTCAACCAGTTCATTAAACTTCATTCAAACCTGAGAATTTAATTGGAAGTTGAAGCAAGGAAACAAATTTTCTCTCTTCCAACCCACAAATAAAAATTAGATCTCACAGTATGAGCTCCACTAATTCTAAAATATTGAACCATGTGGCAACCAGAAACAGTCCCTTTATGACAGATAATGCTCCTTTTAATAAATCTGTTTTAAATGTACAATGCATTTGTGAAACATTTTTCTTATGTCCTTCACACTTAGTTTTCTTACATTTAACTATTACAAAACAAATTTGAAAATGCTGAACTATGAATTCAATTCTAGTTCCTATCCAAGTAGGGCTTAACATAAATCCATGAGTTACAAAAAAAACCCAAAGATCAGCAAGTAAAAAAGTAATGTATCACAACCTTTCTTTAACCAAAAAAAAAATAGAACTAAAATATTCCAGTTCACAATAAAGTTAAAACCTATTATATACCTTATTCTAATATTCCTTCTTCCTACTTCTTAAAATTGATGACTTTTCTCTAATATCAATCCATATACCTTAGTTCAACCTTGCCTTCAGTTTCCCCAACACAAATTCAGTAGGTTCAGAATGGTTGTGTAGACAGACCAAAGGCAGAATCTCATCTACACTCTTTAACTTGCTGTATTTGCCACAACATAGCCACATCTCTATGTCAAACTGCCCTGAAATCCTGAATGTAGGGTTCAAGATGAGTCAGCTAAATGTTTTGTTTGGGTCTAAACAAAAGCAGAATGCAAGTCCTAGTGAGTAAATAGGGGCACAAGAAGAGCTTCTTGCCCATGATGATCTTGGCACCAATTCAGCAAAGCACTTAAACACGCCTCATCGTAAAATGCATGCTGAGTCTCATTATAGCTAATGGAACTTAAGCACATGCTTAAGGGGTTTGCTGCAGCACAGTCATGATGTTTGTGCTGATTACAGCTGCTGGAGAATTTTTCCATTCAACTTTCTTTTCTCAGTGACCAAAACTTCACAGAAAAGGATTGGTTTCAACAAATGACCTATTTTGAAAAGAATTGAGAAAAAGGTTTAACATTGTTATAGTTAATCTAATTTTAGTTACCAGAAAAATGCTATCATATAAAAATGGAAGTTTTAAGTAGTATCACTGAAGTAATTCAGTCCCTGTGTGTTCAGATTGGAACAGCTGAGGCCTGGTTTACTGATGGACCAAGAATCCACAACTCATGGTTAAGCTGATAGGAGCTGAAGATGCTTAGCATCTCTTCAGGTAGGGAGAATCCCTCTATGGAGTCTCAAGGATTATCCACAGTTGGTAACCAGGTTTGAAAAATGTGGATATTAATATTTGAACATGGCTGAGAGCCCCTACTGTGGCAGATCAAAGACTTATATGGCTATGTAACTTCCAGTATTGCCTAGATGTCGCAGATAATTATGCAGAAATAGAATTGCTTTTCCATTTTTCTTATGTAGCTGGCTGAGCAGTCCCCCTTACAGTCCTCAGACCCAGCTGAGTGTTTGAGTCTTGGTGGAACACCACTCTATTAAAACAGTCTGCCAAAGAGGCCCTCGTTGCATGGCTTTGGAGGATTACAAACCCCACACTGTAAGTATTGATGGGGGGGACATAACAGCTGGCTCTGGCCAGGCTGTAACCCCATGTCCTGCACCCCACCATCAACACAAAAATCCCACTGCCGCTGCTTCCTCCCCTACTGCTGCTGGGCCCTGGCTCCAGCTGGTCTGCACCCTTGCATCTTGCCATCAGTGCATAAATCGGGAAGGGGGGGGGGGGGCACATGCCCCTCACATGTCACCTATGACAGTACCCGTGATAGTGGGAAAGTGCCTGGATGCAGGACTTTTATGTCTCTTGTCCATCCTGAGTACTAGTTTCCTCATCTCAGCCTTCAGGTGCAGAGGTGAGATTTTTGTACTTGTGTCCTGGGGCAGAATAAAGGCAGAAGTCAATAGCAGAACCACAGTCAGTCATGTTAGTCTATGGGTCCCTGTCCTAGGGGCTGTCCACTGGATAACAGTGCCCAACAATGTTGGGCATTTAAAACCCTGGGAAAGGAGACCAGGTAAGTTTTAAGACTTTCTCCATGGTAAATTTACCAAAAATGTCATCTCGCTGCTTGTTATCTCCATGTTCTCTCTTGTGTCCTCTATTTCTTTCATGGATAGTTATTTCTGTCTTGTGATAAGCTGCCCATTAGTCAGCTACACTTCAGAGGCCTAATTATTGAAGCCCCTGAGTTCTCAGGGCTTGGTAATATTTCTTCCTGTCAAAACTACTGCAAATAGTACATTAATGAATATAGGATGACCAGTGACCTGCCTGAGTGTGCATGTTACATGAGGGGGTTGGATTACTGCATAATCCCCAATTCTCCATTTGTAGGTCTGTCTTCCTCAATGACTTGTGCTGCCTTTATATTTGGTTTACACATTCTTTATAGAGATATTTCAGGCTGTAGGTTTCAGTCACTCATCTTCCCACTCAGGTCACATAACACAGAAAAGATCCATCAAAACAGGTGACCTGACATACAACAGGGGCAGTTGTTAAATAGAGAGTAAAATCCAAAATAATTGGAGAGGAAGGATGGGAAGTCAGCCCAATCACACAAGTAACACTGGTTAACAAAAATAAACCCTTTTTTGTGTGTGTGTGTGGGAGATCAGCTGAGCTAGTAGTTCTGTTTTGTGTCACAAGAGAAGGAGTTGTGATGTAACTGGCTTGTTATGGTAAAATAACATCATTTCTGAATGCACTCTCCCCCCTCGCCATTGCTCAGAGGTCTCCTTGACAGCTCACCCTTGGTGGGCTATCAAGGAGCCAGTGCTTTCCCTTCCCTACCCTCCTGAGAGTATCCCAGTATTGACAGATGTGTACAACTATTCAAGCTGGCACAAGAGATGAGAGATCTTCCTGCTGGGAAGTACTCTCTTTTTTGCAGGGCCAGAGGAGTGTGGGTCAGGACAGGCCATGAACCTTTGCAAGTGGGTCCCGGTAGGAAAAAGGTTGAGAACCACTGCTCTAAGCAACCACTTGATCAGTATTTTGGCATGATGATCGGAGGTACTGGTGATGGAGGACTGAATGAAATGCAGAATTGGAAACGGTAGGTAACTGAAGATTCCTTCTTGTTTCACAGTGGCCTGTGTGCTAGCCTTGGTATCGTAGTGACATTTTCAAAAATGTTACTACAGACATTCAGTTTACACTCTTTACTTGATATTCCTGACCTGTTCTGATACTCTTTTATGTCTTCCACAATCCATGCCAAAAATGGCTGGATCTTGAAACTGTATATTGATAGCTTATAATTCTGTCATGCTTGGGCAGGTGTGTTGTGCATACAAGGCCAATTCATAGGGTTTGTTAAAGAAAGCATGTAGTTCATTTAATTATTAATATCATAGTCTGTGTTTTTCCTAAATAGATTAAAAAAAAAAAAAATTCTAACATCATCTGTGGCTGAGAGTTGAGATCCATTACTGAAGCTTTCTGGATTCCCTTGTGCTCAGTGACTACTGATATATATCTTCCCAGCCTCACCAGTTTAGCCTAAACATATAAGTCTGCTTTCTATGCAGTGCTCAAACAAATATATTTATCTTTCTAAAAAATCTTCTAGAAATAGATGAAAAATTGTGCAGGTTACTTGTTGAGGGCCAAATTCTGGTGGCTTTATTCAGGTGAGTAGTCTGACTGCAGTGAATTTAGGTGAGTAGGAATTGATTCTGAATGCGCATTCAGCAAAGCAGTGACAAATGCACTTCCTTGTTTGCTAAATAAAGGATAGTGTACTTACATGCTCAAAGTCAAGTCCTGGTTTGAGTATTTTGCTATTTGAAGCCTCACTGTTCCTGAGTGTATGAAAAATGTGCCAGTATGCCTTGAAAGAAGTTGCTTTCATTTGCTGTTAATGAGTTCAAGGGTAACACAGTCATTTAATTTCTGGTTTGCAGCTTTTATTGCATACAAATGTTTTGCAGTAAATCAAGAATTTGTTTTGCAGTTTTTAAATGTTGTCCAAGGTTTCCAGACTGGTTCATACATCGCTCATGTGCATTCTCTTAAACAGGATTACTAGTATGTACATGTGAGTTTTGTGTCATGCAATGCCAGTACAAATGAGAAGTGTTTTAACATCTTCAATCTTGATAGTCCTTTGTCACACTGATTCATGCAAATCAGTCAGGGTTATGAACAGCTAGAAATGGGGTTACTGAATTTACATTTTACTGTAAGCATTCATCAATTACAGCACTTTTATGGGCTGTGCATGGGCACATCCCATCAGTCATCAGGTCTTGCCTTGGCTGGCTTGGTTGCATTTCCTAGTTGATGCTGACCAAGGAGAAATAGGATTCTGAAGAAGCATGACCTCTTGCAGTCTAATGGGAGAACGATTAACAGTGTCTTTTCAGCAAGATACTTTTTATGGAAGTGCATGCATGTGGTTTTATTTCTGGATGAGAGTTAAGTGATAGAGCAAAGAGGCTACAGATCACCCTTTTCTACCTCAGGAGCATACCTTCTAGCCAGTGTCTTTATCCTTCCAGTTGCAGCTCAAGACTTAAAAATGTGAATGGGGGTTGAGATCAGCCAAAAGACAAGAAAAGGTGTCATAGGACCCTTTTCTTCCAACCAACGGAGCAGTGGTAACAAGTAGTTGACTTTAAAATGGCCCAGTAGAGATTTGTTTCTCCTGCTAATCTGTTACCCTCCTTGTTTTCTCTTTTTACAGGTTATTTCCAGGATTTGTTGAACAAGTCAGAGAAGGCCCTCTATGACACATTCCCTAGCATGTATGGGGAGCTATACACGCAGAACATCAAGCTCTTCAAAGACTTATTCAGTGAGTTGCGACGCTATTACCGAGGGTCCAATATCAACCTTGAAGAAGCCCTCAATGAGTTTTGGACACGCCTGCTAGAGCGGCTCTTCAAGCAGCTGAACCCCCAATATCATATCACTGATGAGTACCTGGACTGCATGGTGAAACACTCTGAGCAGCACAAGCCCTTTGGCGAAGTCCCGAGAGACCTGAAGCTGAAGGCAACGAAAGCCTTCATTGCAGTGCGCTCCTACGTGCAGGGGCTTAGTGTGGGCAGTGATGTCATCAAAAAGGTGTCTCAGGTAGGTCATGAAGCAGATGCCACCACCACCATTGCCAGGTGTGCAGTCTTACACCCCTCTACTCCTCACAAATCTCAAAAAATCCTATTTGCTACTGATTGATATTGGGTGGGTGTTATCTGTATTTCCCTTCCTTAATTCTTCCTTATGAATCTGGCAGGCTTGTTGATACTGAACATCTTCCAGCTGCATAAACAATTGCTTAAGGATCACCTGCCACTGGAAGGAAATAACAAACAGGGCTGTTATGGACACTGACAGAAGAGGGGAAGGGCAGCACAGCTACCCACAAATTATAATTTACATCAGTTTAACCTGTGGCAGGGTGCCATGGAGACTTTAGTCACCCAGACTGTATAGTCATTCTGTTGCTTGCATATATTCCTAACACTTCCCTGTCAAGGAAAGTGCCATACCTTTAAATCATGTTTTGTTATTTTCCCCCTTGATGCTGATATGATTTAAGGCACGTAAAACTGACTTGCAAAGAGTGTGCTGGGAATGCATGCCAGAGGTGTATTTCAGTGGTGGGTGAAGAGATTCTTGTGTGTTTATACAGCAGTGTATCTTTATACAAAGCATGCATACTGCGAGAGGCAGTTTGTAAAGTGCATTGGGATCCTTGGGGATCAAAGGTGCTATATAAATGTAAATTAATGCTGTTGAATGTGAGGTTTTAGTTGGAAAAAATTGTATACATCCTTTAGTACAAAAGGAACCTTTCAGAGCAGAAGGAAGGCTATTGCCCACAGACAAGGTATTCAGATTTTTACAGAGGCGGCGTGATGGTAGTCATTCCTGGGTCTGTAGCTGAAAACAATGGCTAGCAAGGGGAAAATCCATTCTATAAAATGGCATGCTTCATGAAGAAATGGCAAACAGCAAGTATACGAGTCAGAGTGTGATTAAACAGTGAATGTAACAAATGTAATACCAATTAATTTCCTTGCCAAAAAACACTTCGTAAAGGACAGTATTAATTTTGATGTGAGTCCAGCATTGGATCTCAAAAAGAAACCTTAATATGTTAACAGTAGCAGATGCTTTCAGTTATCAATATGGTTCTATAAAACTGTTCAGCCACATAAAGGGCTTTGTACATCTCATTAACATCACGCTGCCATGTGAGACTGCTAAGAGGAGAGGCGCATAATTTAAGCAAAATCAAATATTTTGCATAAATTCTCTGAATTGCTGGGATCTCCAGCTTTTTATGTGCATGATTCTACTTTTAGCCCATATCAGGTAGAGTCTAAAAGAATAAACGAATGGATAATAAATTGTCATCTCTTTCCTTTTCCTCATCCTTAGAACTTTCCCTTTGTGCATAGGGCAGTCATAGTTATAGCTTTTCATTCATTGGTTTGTTTTCAGCACCAGTAACTTTTGAAATGCAATACTATTTTGTGCTGTTGATGAATATCTTTTCTCACCCACTGTCATCTGCAGCTTTTTAAGTGAGTGTTTTATTTGGTACTATATTTATGTGATTCTCTTAATCACTTTGGCATCCACTCATTAAATAAGGCATATGTAAACTATGTGCAATATGATCAACTTGCTGGGTCTAGAAGAAAACTAAAACTCCTTTTTATTATTATCTATTTCCTGATCGAATTAGATCCTTTATTCCCAGATGATCTGCCCTCAATGAAATTTGGGAGAACCACTTGTTTTTATAAACAGTAGCCACATAAAACTAAAAGTTTTCCAGTTTGTTAAACGTTCAGCAAACCTAATTCAAGGATTAAGTTTACAACAAAATCTGAAACTGGGTAATTTTAATCTGTTTCTTTAGAAATGTTCTCCCTAGTTCTAGTAACTTCACTGACTAAAAGGAGACTAGTGAGAAGTAAATTTCACTTTACAAAGGTCTTGACTTTCAACAGGTATAAAATACAAGGTCCAATTTTCTACCAAGTTTGAGATGAAAGCTTCTTTAAGCTGAAATTTTACTGTTTGCCCCCAGCCACTCGTGAATGTTGTTGTCAGAAAGTCTGAAGAAAGCCCATGGAAGCCAGTTTGATATGGACATCCATAAATAATAATCTGGTTTTGCACTTGTAAGAAATTGTCTTAACTTTTTTGAACTCACATAGTAGAAGCTGCTGGTCTCTCTTAAATTGCGCTTTTGGCATAGGGCTGGTCCTCCCTGAGTTGCCCTAAGCATGGAAAAACTATTAGAAAGCAGTTGCTATAAGCTACAGATAATTGTGTTTTAAGTGTGTGCAGTTCATACTTGTTGGCACAAAGGGACATCTAATTAGGTGACAGTAGCACTATAAATGCTAATAGTGAGATATCTATTTGTGTAGGTTCTTTGAGCTATCAGTCCTTTTTAAGTCTTTGATCCTGCAAGCTGCTTGTGAGTGCACCATGTCTCTTCTAAAACTCATTGTAAGATCTGGCCCCCCGACTCCCACGTGACCTGTTTTGTCTGCCTTTTGCCAGGGTGTCATTTTGTAACACTTTCATTGAGGACGAAGGATACAAGCTCTTCCCACAAAATGCAGTGCAAGTGATACTAGGAAAACTACTGTTCTTTGTACCAGGCTTAGAAATGAGAAGGCTTAGAAATGGGGAGAGCCTTTTACGAGGCATAGAAATGGGGAGAGAAAGGCAGCCTGTCACTGGCTACAAGACAGACAGGAATCCAATTTTTAATGACTGCTGCCTCCCCACTTGACCCAAGTTTCTCTTCCTTTCACCAGCTGCTGAAGCTTGTATCATCCCAATGTTTCTGCCAGTTTCTGTGCCGCATCTGCCCCAGCAGCCTTCATGCACAGCCACTCAAGCTGTGATCGAAAGGTGCATGTGCAGGTTCTGCTACGAGGCAAGTGGAGTAGAATATGCCTGCTTGGAGCAGGGATCCACATCTGCCAATGGAGACAGAAGGTCTGGTGGGAGCAGGTCGGCTGTCAAGAAATGGCATAACCATTATTTATCCTTACAGTCACTATCAATCAGCCTTGTCACCCTGACAAATTTCCAACATAACACTGGAATATGAAGCTTTCCATTCCCTGCTTCTTGGTCCAAACATGGCCCCTGATAGCAATGGAAAATATACCATCTGTTCAGTGGTTCATGTAAAATGGTCTTGGGGGTCTCAGTCTGTTGGCAAGAAGACTTGTATTCATGCAGTGTACACAGCTGACATCCTTGGTAGCTATGTCAGCAGAGTCTGAATGAATATGTGGACATTCAGTGTAGAGAAGGTTGCACTTCTGCTTCCTACCATATCTGGTCTGGGGATGGAAAATCTAATACTGTTGGATTGTCAGTCAGGCACTTTTCACAAGCATTTCCTTATTTATTTTAAGATGGCTGTTAGTAAGATATAAAAGGTCCCACTTATCATCATTAATATGTTGTAGATATTTGAAAGTGTGGATGACAGATGTTATGGCAGGAGCTCTCAGTATACTTATACCATGTGTGTATGCATGTCTGTTGAGTCTCTTACCTCAAACTGCCTGTGTTCATTTGTTATAAAATCCAAGTATGTCTCCTCCTGTGAGCCTCATTGTGTGCTTACAATAGTAGATTTGGTAGCAAGTGGCTAAGTAATCCTTCTGGGGAGCATTGCAGCAAAGGTCTCTAGCTTAAGATCCATTCTCTTTGTTGCATGCCAGGGCAAGAGAGAAGAAATATCCCACTTTTATCTCAGATTCTTTTCTTTTATTATGAGATTGGCAACTGCCCAAAAATAGCATTTGCTGTGAATCAGAAAGAGCTTCATCTGAACAGGTGAATATCTAGTGTTGAGAGACTTGGAAGCTGCCAGTTGGTGCTCAGTCTGCTCACTTGGTCCTAGTGCGTGTCATGTTCCACTGTTGTTAATCGCTTAACGGGGATGAAGGGAACATGGAGATGGCAAACTTTGGAACCTTTTTTTTTTTAAAGCCTAAGACAGAAACAAGAAAAAGAGAATAATATGGGGGAGAAGGAAGCAAAACTCCAAAACACATTAAAGTGAAAGTACTAACAGGGAAACAGCTACTTGAAACAGTGTAGCAATTAAAAGCAGAGCACCAGTGTGATGAACAGGTATATCCTAGTTGCATTTTTTTATTTCTTATTCCTATTAAATTAATTAGTATCAGGGAACCATGGTCAAAGGCCAGAGCCATTCAGCTAGGTGTTGCACAGACAGTACAAAAGGCACTCTTTGCCTCTGTGAAGCCATACTCCCTATATCAGACAGAATACAGCAAATGGAAGAACAACGATGGAGACACTTTCTAGGGACAGACAGTACACATAAACTGGTTTAAGTGATCAGAAACTGGTTTAAACCTGTAACAGAACATAAGTACCATGCCCATAAAACAGTTTCAAAATGGCTGAAACGGCTTTAAGATAAACCTAGTTGAATGTAGTATCAGACTTAACCAATTTGGGTCAAACCAGTTTATGCAGTGTCTGTCCCAGACCCCCTTCCTGGTTTAACTTAAACCAGAGTCCCTCAGCATCCCAGCTGCTTTGCAGCCCTGGGCGGGTCTCTCTTCTCCAGAGAGCTGGACTGGCCTCTCCTCCCTGCCCCTCTGCTCCAGAGAGCTGGGCTATCTGCTCCCCTCTGCTCCCTGGCTGGAGCTCCAGCAGAGTGAAGTCTGCTTGGTTTCCTCCTCCCCTAGCCCACACTACCTGCTCAAGCAGGTATCCCTCCCCTCCCCTCCCCTCCCCTCCCCTCTCCCACAGCATGGACCATAACCAGGATGTGGTATGCTACCTAATGCTGAGAGGTGTCTGTGTAAGGCAGACAAGACAAAGACAGACAGGACAGTGTCCACTTAGGGCTTTTTGGAGCTAATCAGCAGGTAACTGGTAATGTCCCTCCATTCCTTTCTTAGAAAAAGCTGTTTAAGAAGAGCATGAACTAATGAGAGAGGCTTTTGTTTTGTTTGATGAAGTGCTAAATACTATCAACTCCCTTGGTAACTCCCTGCTGTGTAACTAAATGCTGTTATCAACTCCCTGCTGGCCCCCTCACTGGTCAG